CCCATATTGGCCTGCCAAACAGCAGTCACATCACATTAAATCTGCCCATTATGTTTATGTTTTTATGAGAACTGGGGTTTATCCTGTGGCTGCCAACCAGCCTGTTTTTGTGAAGGTTATTTGGCTTATCTTATTTGTGACTGTAACTTCCTCCTCCTGTGCCAGAACCATATGAGGAATTAATGTTGTTGCCTAGTTTTCTTTATACTCTCTTTTTCTAGGCTTTTTAATCGACCCTGCAGCCTCTTTCTTGATTCCCAATGTCTTCCTCTCCTTGGAATGCAGTCTCTCTTTTGTTACCTCGAAACTTCTTATTCATTAAGTAAAAGAAGAAACCTCTAACCTGCAGTCTTATCCAAGAAGCACATATTGGAACTTTTGACGTTTATTGTAGGATAAATCAGAAAGCAATAGAATAAAACTTTTCATGTAACAGAAAGGCAAATATGAGTTGAAATATTAGCTAGGTGTGATAATATAAATACTGTAATCTTAGTATTTGAAAGGTAAAAGCAGGAGGATCAGAAATCAATGGGCTCAAAACTAAAATAAAATGTTGTTGAGAAAAGAATATTTGTGTGGTGACAAAGATAACCCCACAGGACACTCAGAAAGTTAAAATTATGGTAAAATAAACATCCAGTGATCACCATATTTGTTAAATATGCATATATTTAAATGTGTGTATGGTTGATGTCAAAATGTGTATGTTGTGCCAAGGTCAATATCCATTGTCTTCAATTATTGCTCTCCACAGTATTTTTTTCAAAGGTGTCTCACTGAACCTGGACTTCACTGATCACTGGAGGTAGATACATGCCACTCGGTTGGGCTTTTATGTAGGTGATGAGGGATCTGAACTTAGATTCTTTTACTCATGCAGCAAGCACCTACAGTACACTGAGATACTTCCCTAGCTCTATGCTATCTTAAATAGCTAATTAGTAACTCTATAAAGTCAGAATCTGACATAATGTCCTTCTTGATAAGACAAAATGCCAGGTATACATTATCTGTTAAATGTCAGCTAAGCTAAATGATACAAGGAAATATGACACACAGATGAACAGTCAATTTTTATGGACAAATGTCATGAATTTTCAATAAACTTATGATTCAGTGATGACAAAAAAAAGTAGGTGTCAGAAAAGCCTAAAATTAGGTTTCCTCGTCTTCCTGGGTTTACACACAGCACCTTAATGGGCTCTGATTCATGAAACTTTCTTGCAGTTGACTGGCATTTTCTGTGGAATTAAATGGAGCTAAGTCTAGGATAACTCTAATTCATGCACTCTGAACCCAATCTGATTTAGTATGTGGGCTGATCAATATTTTAATACACACAGTAGTGACTAAAAGTTGGAGGTGGGGAAGGTTAAAGGATACAAAATAGCAGATATGCATGATAAACTAATTCAAAGTTCTAATGAATAATATGGACTAAAGTTAAAAAACTGGGACCATAATAGGGACAGAGGCTTTTTTAGCTACTTTTAAATCAATGTACAAAGATAGATGTTAATATGTTTCACTATAGTAACTATTCTATTACCTGCATGCATACCATAAAATACTGGAAAAAACATTCAAGGGGGCTGGGAAATGTTTTAATGGATGGGGAATGGCAGTACTAACATGAGAATCTGCATTTGAACCCTTTGTATTCACATAAAGATAAGCATGGCTATATATGTGTCTGTAACTAGAGCATTTTATGAGACAGAGACAGGTAAATCACGAGAGCTTGATGGCCAGTCAATCTAGCCAAAACAACAACCCTGCAGTTCAATGGGAGACCCTGTCTCAAGGCAGAAAGTGATTGAGGTTTCAGTGTATCACACACACACACACTTGGAATTTGTATACAGCACTTGTACCCTCAAATCTTGGATACAGTCTTTCACATCAGTATTATTTATGAATTTGAACTTGTCCTCTCCCCTCCCACAATGTTCTAAGTAGCATCATCCTGAAAACCTTGGCAACTAGAGTTTATAGATTTTAATCCTGACCTCCATTTGTTTATTTAAAACATTTGTGTACATGGGCACTAGAACTGCACTTGCATTCTCTGTAACAACACATGAACCTTCTCCAGACCTGATTTCCATTTGTCCAACAGATTTGTGTATAAGCATATTAAATGTTCAATCCAATGAATACTTTTAATGAAAGATAATGAAATTCTTAATATCAAATTCTCTAAAGATATTTTCATTCTGTCAAATGTATTATATATACCTCAAACTGTAAAGCACCATAATTAACCTTTAACTATAAATATTTAAGCCTTCAAATCAGTGCATTCACTCTCTCTTCTTTCAAAATATATTGCACCCATGTATTTTTGAAGGCAAGTATATTTTGGAGTACTTCTTCATATTAAACATACCTTTAAATGCTATTTTCATTTTTAAGTTGTGTGTACCCATGTGGGATCATATGTGGATGCATGTGATTGTGGAGTCCAGAAGAGGATATCAGATTTCCTGGACCTAGAGTTACAGGCAATTGTGAGCAGCCTGATGTGGGTGCTGAGAACTGAACCTGGGTCCTCATGAAGAGCAATACACACTGTTATGCAATGACCCATCCCTCCAGCCCATTTAACCTATCTTTGATCTCACACAAAGATATTGCTGTTGTTCAGTCCAATTATTAATAGTGGTCTTTCAATCTCATGTGAATCCTGCTCTGGACTATAACAGATATGGTCAATTTAATTATAGGCTATCAAGTTTAAAGACATCTTGATCTTGGCAAAGAAAAATTCCAATAGGAAAGGTCCTTACTGCAAACACAACGGTGGACTAAGCATTGAGTCCCTAGTTTTGTAGTAAGAAGTACAATCTGGAATGGGACTGCAAAATGGTATTTTGGCTTCCCCACCAAATATCCACAATATTTGATGCAAATTACATGATCTCCATTTAACTTAATTTACTTAAATGTAAAGATGAGGTTAAAATAGTACTTAAGAAAAGGCTAAATGGATGGAAGTACTATGCAAACACAGTCCATAGTAGAAATACTGAAGTCACAACAATGTCATTCTCATTTTACTGTTCAATATATGCGCGCACACGCACACACACACACACACAAACACCAGAGAATTTGAGGGCATCTGTTCTCTTTTCACCATTTTGAGTTTTGGGGATCAAACTCAGGTTGCAGGCTTTGTGCAAGAGCCTTTCCTCACAACACCAGCCCTATATATGTTCTGAGATTGGTTGGGGATCTGCCAATCTGACAACCACCAAGGAGTAATAACACAATTTGTTACCTGGAGGTCCTGGAAAAACCAAATCTCATTTATGTCTCTCAAAAGTAATACCTTTCCTGGCCATCAGGTTGTTACTTCACTGAAGTAGCTCTGGTAAATATCAACAATTAACTGACAACCCTGGTTAATCCTTATCTTTGCTGCATGGTATGGTTACTTTTTCAAAAAGTTCTGGCCTAACTCTAGTTAGCTTAAGCTTTTTGTCCCTTTGAAACTTGCTTTTCTATGTGCTGGTACTTTTATTGGATTTGGCACCGTTTTCTCATTTAACAGTTCCTCTATTATGTTGTAGTTCTTTACCAACACCTCAAAGGATACTCAGCTATACTTGTGGTCCAGGCCACACCTTAATTTCAGACCCAACCAACCAATTGCTACTTTAACAGTTAAATCGTCTGCCTCCAGAGGTTCTCACACTATTTCCTATTCTGGCTATAGGTACCCTCACTCACCTGGAAAGATTTACTCAGTCATATAGACTTAGTCTTTAAAATTCAAAGTTCAAGCCCATATAATCTCTTCCTTTTAGTTCTGAGCTTTAGAAATATCCTAGTTACAATGCAGTTAAGAAATGGCTACAAAGGGCAATAAAACCATAAGTTTTTTAAAAAATAAGTTTACATGGTAGTGTAAACTTGTGATCTCTGTGCTCAGGAGGCTCATGAGTTCAAGGTAAACATAAGAAACATTGTGAGCTCTCATTTCAGAAGAAACAAAACCAATAAAGATGCGGTAAGATCACTGTAAACTCAATGTTCTTTGGCTTAAATCCAATAGGTGGTATCACATTAAATAAAAGCCGAAATACAAATATCGCACATGGCAGGTACAGCTTTCCAATATTAGGTCCTTAACATCTTTTCAAACTGTCTTTTGGCATTCCTTCAACCTCAGCCACAATACTTGGAATTCCCAAATCTTCTTGCCCTGTTAGGTGTAATGATGCTGAAATGCATGCCCCAGTGTCACTCCTGCTACTTGGTATCTTCTGTTTTCCAGGACATACGCCTATGAACCTCCCTTCCTAGAGGCTAGAAAGCAGGAATCACGTATTATACTTATGCATGACAAATATGTGGAACAAATGAAAATCCACATAACTTTATGGTGTGGAACATGTGTATTACTACCCCACCAGACACACAATAAAAAAACTAGTTATTTCATATTCAGAGGCAGATACCTCGTTTGAATTACGCTAATAATATTTGATCCTCAGTCACTAGAACTCTGAAAGTTACTAATTATCAATTTGTTACTTTGAAAAAGTGACTTATTACAAAATGTAAAACCTAGAATTTTTTTATTGATTTAACTTAAATAACAGGTTAAGTAAACTGAATTGTTATATTGATGTTCATTAAAATTAATTACTTTTTAATTAGTGCCAATAAGAAAATTTTATTGCCACTTTGAATCAACATCTGTTTTGTAATGCATTATGTGGTAAGTTTCTTTTTCTGAACAGTGTATGTGCAGTGATGCAAATTTGTTTCATTATGAAGCCATCAGTATAATGTGACTTAATGGATTTACCTATAAAAGCAATTAAAAAACCCCCAACCTATCCTAGCTTCTAAAAACCTGAAAAATGCAAAGCATTAATTGACGCAAAGCTGCTTACAAAGAACTTCACTCATCTATTTGAGAATACTGATTTGTTTTCTACATTCAATCTTTTCTACTTATTCAAAGACTAAGTTCCTAGCAAGTATTAATCTTGATATATTTATTTAAATGTGGGTTACATAAAATCTCTCCTACATAAATGCAAGACAACATACTCATCTTGACAATAAATTAATCTTAACAAAATCACACAGAAAATATGTCGGTAAGAAAAATGAGAACTGAGTAAGAACAGTTGGATGTTTTAGTGTTTAAGGTTAGCTTACAATTTTTTTCTTCACAAAACATTTAGTTTATTTCACTCTGGAGTACTTTCCAGATAGATGATTTTCACAAGGCAACCATTTAAACTATTTGTGGTTAAACATACTGATCAGTACTCTGATAAATGGTTTAGGAATTATTCCTTCCTGAAGATTTAAGAAATGAATGCCAATAAACAATCAGTTTATCATGTTAGTAACCAAGTGATTAAAACATCTCTAAGCTTTTAGTCCTTAAATTGCTAAGAAGATACATTCCAAAAACTGTCTGAAAAGATAATGCATTCAGTATAACATTTTAACAGATAGGACTGTTAAATTATATAAACCAACCGACCAACGAACCAACCATCCTACCCAACCTTTACTTAAAGGATTTTTTATGTTTCTTCTCTAATTTTGTGGAGAATTCTTTAAAATTATACTATAAAATGAAAATGTGTTCCAAGTACTTCAGAAAACTGAGGTGCAAATGCAAGGCACCATTATTATTATAAAATGAAATACTAGCATTAATTAACTCATAGTAATTTTGGAATGTTATATAGCCTAATATATTTTACTGATGATAAGGAATTTGTAGTCATCCACCGCACTGTCATGCATACAGGAAGACGTAAGATTTCAAAATTGTCTATCATTAAAAAAATAAGCCTTGTAATTTATTTGCATTTTAAAACAGGGCACTTCATCCTGGAATGTTTACTCATATAAAATGCTGAGTAATGTAAGGATTTGGCAAGCCTGTATTAAAACTCCCTCTAAAGTTTTAAGTTCAATCACTATTTGTTTTGTATTATACTACATTTTGGCAGATTTTTTTTTTATTTGTCTGTAACTGCAGTAGTTGCAATTTAGCAATAAACCAGTCTGACATTTTAGGTCTTGAAGATACATACCATATATATTTCTGTAAAAATAATCATACTTTTTGTAAGCAACTTTACAGTAGACACCTCAAAAATCTACCATAGATGTGAAACTTAAAACAAGAAAAATTTAAGTTCTAAATCTTTATACATATATATCTAGATTTCTATATATATTATATATACAGACAAAAGTATATATAAAATATATATAATCAGATTTGAAAAGTGAACAAAAATTGGGCACTGTACATAAATTCTTTTTAAAACTCAAACAATAGAAAACTCCTTAAACATTAAACAATTTTAATAAAAGTTTCTGTACAATGCTAAGCAGTTTTATTTACACATAGAAAATGTAATTGGAGTAGTGCTTGAAATTACAGAACTCCTTAAAATTTCAATGGCAGGTAAATCTGGAAAAAATAACAGCATTCCATTCACAAATATTTTCAAGCAATAAATATGTATTTATAAATAGTGTAAATTTACATCAAGATTAGAAACAAAAATCACAAAACTGAAGTTTATTTCTTAGTCTATGTGCAATCCATTATCTTTGTGACTTGGCTGTTAATTTTTTTTTAATGTTTTATTTAGGAACCAAAAGTATAACCATCATGGTTTCAAAACAAGACAGAGAAACATAAAAGTAGTAAAAAAAGTTTCTTACTTAACTTTCCACATTAAAAAGAAAAAAAAAGTGGATCAAAGAAAGACTTAAAACTGCTAACTACCTTACAAAGAAATGACCAGCTAGGCTAGTAGTATTCCCCCCCCCCCCCGAGGAAAATTCTGAAAGGGAAAAGATAAGTGAAAACAAACTCATCAGCCCAGAAATAGAGAAATATAAAAGAGGTTGTCTTCAAGTCAGTAGTCTGTATGATGTTGCCAGTTTTGTCAGATATATACAAAACATGGGAATTACTATTTATTTCTTTCTGAAGTTCAGCTGTTCAGTTTTTTTTTTTTTTTTTGAGAGTCCCGGCGTAGGCGCAGTACTCTCCCCTGTCCAGTTGGTTGACACTCCACACTTGGAAGGTTGCATAGACACAGTTTTCAGCCAGCAGCCTTACGAGATAGCTAAAAAAAACTAATGGTGCAGAACTGGGTTACTTCCTGAATAGCAGAAAAGGTCTTATGTTTAATGTCCATGGAACAATATCAAGATGAGGCGGATGGTAATGGAGGAGCCTGGAAATAAAAGCAAGGTAGATTATTTTGGTATACTCATCATTAGTTGTGCTTCTTTGTTTACAGCTACAAATATACAGTTGGTTTATGAGATTAAAAGACGTTATTTTCTGTTCGACAGCCTTGCTACATAGTGTAACAGAACAACATCCCTTGTGATCTTTCCCACCGGGACACTTTTTCTAAGAATCTAAGACCATCCTTATTTCACTGTGACTCCAAAAGCTTTTAGAAAATTAGTTTACCACTTTTTACATATTGCTTTCTTTGACAGGGCTTCACAAAACAATTTAAACAAATTAACTACAATTTTACTAGTGACAGCCTTCTGGGATCTATCTTACATAGGTAATACATTTTTTTTTTCCCGGTAAATTTCAAATGATTTTATTTTTTTCCTGAAGCAATCTTGAAGACCATCCAAATGAAAATATCAGGAACTTCACCAGTTAGTTTTTGATTACATATGTGGAAAGTATTGGAAGAAAAGAAAAATTCATAAATTACATCTATAAGTCTAGTCAGATCTGCTTTGAGTGAAATGCTTCCCATAAGCTTGCAATGAAAAACTTTGTGATTTTTTTGTGAATATAGTTGAATTTCATAAGGTTATACCACACGCCAGGAAGCAAGCGCTATTCAAATACTCCCACAGAATTAAAGCATCTGCTAGAACACAATTCCAAACAATTTCAATCAGCCCAAAAAGGAGAAGTATATTTCAAAGCATACGCTCTGATTCTTTTTGTGGGCACTAACTATGTAAGCAAGCATTCTATCAACCAAGAAGAAATGATATGATACACATCAATTTTACAGGAATACTTAGAAGAGATGGTGGTGGGACCAATATATATATATACCCTCATGCATTATCTTGAACCAAAGGAAAATCTACATATTTCATTCATTACCTCCCATTTATCAGATGGCAGAACATACACTACTGCCTCCCAACCCAGCTAATGTATTCACATGTTGATTTCACTTACTAATGTAAATTGGTCATAGACTTGCATCAGGTCCTCCATTTTGTACTGTTCTAGCACCACAAAATTTTCCAGATTTCCACTTGTTTTTCGTGCACAATCTTGGCAATGCACTATGTAAGTCTTTCGAGAATTACTCTCATTAGTGACAAAAAGCAGATCAAAAACCTCCACCTGTTTTACACAAATAAAAACTGCGGTCAACAGAGATGGTGATGTTTATAGTATGTTTCTATGTAATCATGGACTTCTACTTTAACAGAACTATAGACAGTCTAAAACATGGAGGAGCGGGTTAAGAGGAGACTGAAAATGTTTACACTGTACCAAATCCCAAGACATAACAGCAGTCGTATTTGGGGGAGGGACTGAAAGGAATGTATAAAATCTGTTAAAACTTAATTTAAAAATTTAATAAAGGCCAGTTTGATCACTATTTTCCTTCTACGTCTCCATGACAAAATTCATCACAGGGGACCACATATGAATGTGTGCCTTTTTCCATAGACTGAACTCTTTAAATACAAAGACTGTATTCATATTTGCATTGCCAGAGCATGTCACAGTGCCTAGTACTTACTCAATCCTCAAAACACACCTGTAGTATGAAGGATTATAATCTGATTATTTTACAGATGATGAAACTGGCAAGTAACAGTAAGTAAATATTGTGTTAAAAACCTTATGGTAAAACTAGTACTCATAAGTTTTAGAAACACATCAGAAATAATATATAATCTGTCTTAGAGTAACACTGTGGTGTAGGAATCATTCTCACATATTGAGAAGTTCATGTGTTCATTTTCATGAGGTATAAAACACATCTATTTCCTCATTAACTTTGATCAGGTTATATACCATTAAAATATCTAATGAATTTAATCATTTAAAATTAAAGCCAACACCAAAATCACCAATTTTCAAGGTTTAGAATAGATCATCAGTATCGCCATTTGTGACTTATCCTTAAATTTCCTCAAGAACAGAAAACTATTAATGAGAATGAGCTAACTCAAAATCCCTAGTTTGTCATATTTCCCACTATCATTAACGGACAACAACATGAACCTAAGGAGTGGAGCTGAAGAATTTGTATGCATTCTTTAACTTGTCCCTCATTTCTACCTTTTAATAAGCTACCTTGTGGATTTCATCTTCTTGATCAGTTCTCAATCTATGGGACATAACCCCTTTGGCAAGCTTCTAGCTCCAAAAATACTTACAATTCATAACAGTAGCAAAATTATGAATTAGCAAAAAAATAACTTTATGATTGGGGGGGTCACGACAATATAAGGAACTTATTGAAGCATTAGGAAAGTTGAGAACCACTGTTTATTTTAATGTTTTGTTCTATTTTAACAACCCGTTGCCATTCTAGTCTAGTATAGTATATGTGGCAAAGGGATCTTCTCTTACAAGATTACTGCAATGTGTTCCATTTTCTCTGTCCTCTCCAACCATTTCTTTCTCTGAAACAGACATCTAACTTTGTTGATTCTCAAAAGTTTCTGGTGGATTCATTGACTCTGGAATAATATCACATTATCTGACAGCATTCAAAAATGCACTGAAAACTGCATGTCACCTAGATTTATGAGAAGAATCTGTATTGTCAGTATTGCAACCACAGTAGTCTACCTACCCTTTTCTAAAGCCATTCTATTTCCCCACTCACGGTACCCATTACAGCCAATCCGTATTTTCACTAGAGTTTGTAGAGCCTGTTGAAATCATATTCATTCTTCAAAAGAGGACTAAAAACTATGGATTTCTTGTTTGTTTCTGTGAGCTCTTATTGCCAATACCGGAAAAAGAAAACTACATCAATTATTTCTCTCTCTGCATTGTTCTACTAAGCTCCCAATCTAAAATCTCGTAACTTTCCAAATGACTCTACAGTAGGTACTTTTAAAGTTAACTAATACTAATACATGATATTACACCATTAAACATTAATATTTGATAAGAAAATATAAAAATTGAACACAATGCTAATCACAGTAAAATGTATTACTTGATTAAAAACTAAAGTAACTTTCATAAACAATTGTGGGCAAGAACTATAACTTACCTCACAAATGCTACAATAATGAGCTGGTTCTTCTTTTGTCCGTCCATGCCATATGATCTCTTTTCCTGCAGCAATTAGAGCTTCCCTCAATGTCTGACATTGCTTCAGAGTTCTCAGAAGACAATACCTAACATAATGGAAAATAACTCATTACTAGTAGCTAAACATTGTGTATTTTTCACCTAAGAGATATACCAATTAGAAATAATGCGAAGAGCCTTGGTCCTAATGCCTATTTTTCTTTTGTTGTCCATCCTCTGCTTCCCCTTGCCAGATATTTTTGAGATCTATCTGATAGCTGAAGATAGCCTATGCATTTGAGCGGCCTCAAGTTTAAGGCAACTGATCTCTGCCTTCCATGCCCATTGCATGTTAATTTTTCAGATATCAGATGAAAAAAAATAGGGCAAATGTATAGCAGCTCTAAGGATGACAATATTCTGCCACTTATAGTTGAGATTAATTGGTATTCAAACATCACAACATAAAGGCCTTAATATATAAAAACTGAGTCTTTCTTAAAATAAGTTCTTAACTTTGGTACTTAGCTGGGCGAACTAATTAACCTCTCCAAGCATTACATCCATAAAGTAAGGGGCCTGAACTCCAGATATGAACAGCTATGATTCTAGGCAGGCAGGATGACACATCATCTCTATTCATACCACCTAAATACTCATTAACACAATCATCTGTGTAGCGTTTGCATAATTTAAGAGTCCATGAATAGAGAATAATTTATAAATTCATTAACTACAAGGTACAAAATTAGTTTAACTATGGTAGAAGAAAAACAGAAATGAATTTCTTCATTTTAACTTAAGGTAACAGTAGAATCCAGTTACAGTAACACAATGGAACTTTTCTTGTAATTTGTACCTCTTCTAGTTCTCACAATTTTTACTATTTTTTCAAGTTTGCTATCACTACTTGAAACTGTTATATTCTTACTCTCCTGTAAATCTTAACAATCAGATTTTCCCTTTGAACACAGAGGTTGAACCAAGCTAATTTCTAAAGCAATTTGAAAGTACCATAGAGAAAAGGTTCATCAACCTTTAAGTATCATCCTGAAAGCAAGTTTTTTTCTACTCACTGTCTTGCTGCCATATACAGTAGGTGTTCAATAAATACTTGACTGTCAAAAAAATTAAAATTCAAGATATAATTAATAGTATATTTACCTTCATCTTACTTTCATCATAAGTTAACAGGTAAAGTATTGGTATTTCCAGGACTCATAAATATTAATTACTGGGGGATATGACTAGAAAAGGTTATTTATTTAGCTATAAACTTACAAAACACATAATACTGTTAACTTTAGGGTTGCAGGCTTTCTTTAAGGATCATATTCCAAGAAATTCACTGTTTTTGGTTTCTTGAATGTTTTAATGCTTAACAACTTATTTAAAAACTTACGATTTAGACTGTGGCTAAATGTCAAACCTAAAAGCAGTTGTCAAAGTAGGCACGCATATGTGTTTATATTAGGGTACCAAAGTATCAGCTAAAAATTATTACCTCCTGCTACTGTCTTCCCTCTTCTATGTCCCATAGTTCACTCACTAAAGACTAAGGCACAGCTCTTACTCGAGGGTTTTTTTTTTTTTTACGCAAAGCTTCAAAATAGCATTTTCCTTCTTTAAGAAAAAAAAATACCCAAACTGCAGATATATAAGGAAGATTTGTAAATTCAACTATGCTCCTAATAAAGGCAATCAAAAATAATATAAAAAAAGAATAAAAAATAATCAGGCGGGGAAATATATCTGGTAATTCCCTTGCCTTATGCCAACTGTCTTAGTATCACAAATACAATTATCTTTGTATTGCAAACAGATGAAACTTGGGGCCTCAGTACAACTAAATTTGTATGAAAGAAAGACAAGTCACTAGACTAGTTGAATTAGGGGTTTGAAAAGCAGGAAGCCTCAAGTGTCTCCATCTTACACTTTAGTATTTCTTCTTTTGGGGGGTATTTCCATGCCCTATTCTCACTCCCTCTAATCTCCCCTGTACCACGCGCCCTGAAAAACAGAGCCTTGGATCTGCAGATTATTGTTTCAGTCTTTACTCATAAATGCGCCTTCATTTTCAATATTATTAAGTACTTTGGTAATCTAGCTACAGTTAGGGGATGCCAGGAATAGCCTTCTGCAATTACTCCATAATTTTTATTTTCTGTTATAATAATCTTAGAAACCTTAGTTTTCTGAAAATGTATAACTACACTTTTTCCTTTTATTGTTTTTTAACATTAAAATTCTGTCTTCAGCAGTAGAAAGAGAATTTAGAGAGACAAGGAATGAACAGGTTTTTTTTTTAAAAAAAGATGTGATTTAACTGCAAATCAAGAGATTCAAGGATAATGAATCTAGAAGTCATAGCATCAACATTCTCATTACCTGATAGCAATTAAGATTTCATTTTACTAAGAATTAAAGAGTAAAGAGTAAATAACAAAAAAAGATAACAAAATTGTCTAAGATAAAATATGCTATTTTTTGTGTAAGTATATTTTAGGAACAGGGTAAAAAAATATTTTAGCAGCTAGAGAAAGACAATTCTTTAAGACTCAAGACCTGCTTTTTAACTGTTTGGATGAAAAACTACACAAAAGAAAGGAGGTAGCTGGACAGAGTGGTGTCTACATCTTATTAGCACTTAGAAGACAGTGGCAGAAGGATAAGTTTCAATTAGGCTGACTCAGGGAGATTAGTCTGCCCAGGGAGACTCATCTTATATACATTAAAAAAAAAAAAAGGCCACCATAGAAAGAGACTGAGAGCACAGTACATTTGTACACAGTAGATTCTAGCCCAGTCAAAACTGATTTGAAAAGAAGTGAAATTTGAGAGACGTCATAAAAGAATGAAAATAAAAACACTATATTCATAAACTGGCAGACTAAACCAAGATATTCAGGTTATCATGGACACTAAAAAGAGGAAGAGAGACTTTTCAAATGAAGGGAGATTTTCTACTATGCAGATGAAATTTCTGAATTAGAATATACCAGTTTAGATTTGAGCAGGAAGATGGGGAAAGGCATCTTGTGCAAAGAAGGAAGGCAATGAGGTAATGTGTGTTGGGGGGCTGTTGAAAGAACAATTTTTCAACACAATAATTTCAAACAATTTTTCTTATAAAATTTTAATTTTCAGGTGAGGTTTTAGCAGCAAGAGAGTAATAAGGAATAAACCTATTCATAATAGTATATAGACGCTAAGAACATACAGAATTATTCTGAAATCTTAGGGGCATCTTTACTAAGTTTTCTAAGTTACAGAAGAAACAAGGATTAATCTGACATTGCATTTACAATTCTTTTCAGAATACAATCTGCTATTAAGAAATTTTAAGTATACCTAGAGGTGGCTGGCCAAGACAGGTCTCTCTTAACTTAATCAGCAACAAAAAGCAAGCTAACATTTTCAAAGCTCTCATAGTACCTACCCATCAGGTCAGGATTGTTTACCCTTTGACAACAGTCTGTATCTGAGTATGACTATGTCATCTAAAAATTTCATTTAAATTAAGCACATGGCTGAAAATCAAGGTCTCACTGAGTCAATGATAAAACTAGCAGTTTAAAAAATTTTACTTTCTGGGCAAGAAACAAGCATAAAAAAATGTGCTAATCATGTGACAAAAAAGGAAAAAACAAAGTCCCACAAAAATAACCCAGTAACATTAGAAGGCCAACAGGATTATCACAGTGTAATATATGCGAACTATGGACTAATATTCTGTTCAGTTATGACTGAACAATTGTAGAACATATCATTTGTAAAATAGGAATCAGAGAAGTTAACACTTAAAAGTCATCTCAATTTATATCTTAAAAACTCAGTACTAATCACAAACTGAAATATAAATAAAGAAAAAGGTTTAACCCCCCCCCCCACCCAATTTTCTAGTCTTGAAAAACAATCTCATCTAGTCTGTGGTGTTTCTAGCTTGCCTGGTCATAAGCTTCACTGGGTTCTTAGGAAAGAGATTCTCCCCACAGTTCTCTTAGCAGAGCTCTGACTGGGTAAAAACAAAATTTTAAGTAGAGAATCAAATGATTCCTGTGGTTAGGCAACTAGGAACCAGTGCAAATATCTCATTTCATTTAGTATTGAAACTAAAAACAATTTTAGGGGGTGATCTATATGTGGACAGTGCACGTATTAAATTACACTAGTGAATTTCATATTTTTTAGATATGGTAAATGGTCCCATGCATATGTAGCTTTTCTATATTCTTATGAGAATGAAGTATATGATGGTGATATAATGATGCCTACAAATTACTTTATCATGTAGTTCAAGCAGAAAGTATATATAAGTCTGTGGGAACTGCCAAATATATGTGGTAAGGAGGTTACAAATTTTAAAACTGGAAGTTGGAGAGCAAGGAATACATAAGTTTAGGGTAGGGAGCAACGTGTTACATATAAATTCTTATCCTTTAAAAGTGAAGGACTGCCTTGGAAGCTATACAAGTCCTGGTTTATACCTCTACTCCTTGGAAAACTGTCATAGTTGAATGAAGTAAAAGATGAAATCAGGAGCTTTAACTTTGAAGATTCCTTTAATTTATTTTTTTGTGAGGATACTATTGTATTTCAAAAAAATCAGTAAGAGTTCAGAAACCCATGGCAGCTATCCCCTGACAAGTAATTACTGTTCAGCTACCCAAGAGGTACAAATGTATATTTCAGATTGATACATCTAAGTCAACAGAACCACTCACTCACTTGACTGCTTAATTAAAAAATTTAAGTCATAAGAACTCAAGTTCTGTGCTTCCTAAAGCCAGTCAGACTCTATACTCTGCAACTACAACAGAAGTTAAAACCCATGAAGGTTTACCTAAGCCTGATCTAAGCAAGGAGAAACTAAGTTAATTTGCAGTATATGGGGTATGAGCAAAAAAAGGTATTGCTCATTTCAATCGTTCAATGAAATCAGCAGAATATTATTTATGGACTTCCCAATAAAAATTTCATGAGGTGCTTGGTTGTTCACTGCTTTATGAAATGAGTCAAGTAATCAAGATAATATTCTTTTGAGTCATTTATTTGGAAGACTGAAACAGAGTATGAGTGGATTTCAGTAAAATAACTAGGCTGTAGAAACAAGAGATCTGTTAAATGGCATATTCAGATAAAACACTTTATGGACCTACAAGGCCCATCAAGACCAAACTTGAACTTGAAAATGTGAAAGGAAAAATAAAATCATGAGGGAGGTTGACCTATTTAAAGAAGTAAAGGCAAGAACAGTTCCTGCTCCTGCACTGAGGCTACCCACCCAGAGGGGTGAATGAGCACCCACCCGCCTGCCGGAGGGGAGTGCACAGGATACCTCCAGCTCCTGCTGCAGAGGCTTCCTGGTTCCACAAAACTCTGCCCTCCTCCCCAAGTTCGCCCTTTTGTCAGCGGGATCCTTGACCTCCAAGAGTCCTGTCCCAATGCTGAGGACAACCCTTCAAATCAGTGAGTGGGTGCCATCCTGGGACGGGGCGGAACATCCAGGAAAGGAGCACTGGGACCCTTTAGCTCCTGCTGCAGGGGCTTCTCTGTTCCACACATCCCTGCCCACCCCAAGCCTGCCCTATTGTCTGCAAGGTCCTTGGCTCAGGAACAGTTCCTGCTCCTGCACTGAGGCTACCCACCCAGAGGGGTGAGTGTGCACCCATCACGCCTGAGGGGGTTGCACTACACCTCCAGCTCCTGCAGCAGGGACTTCTTGGCTCTGCACGACTCTCCCCCACTCCCCCCCAAGTTCGCCCATTTGTCTGCAGGGTCCTTCAACCTCCAAGAGTCCTGTCTCTGTGCTGAGGACAACCTTTCAGACCAGGGAACAGTTCCTGTTCCTACACTGAGGAGATCCACACAGAGATGATCACAGCAAAGACTGGACCAAAACACCAAAACTCTCATGGCTGGATTTGAAGGAAGAGATGGGCAGGCGACAATGCAAGAATTCCTCCAACAAGGAAGGATGAATATAGGATCAGGGAAGAATATATTTCAACTAAGGAAGTCATTTTAGGGTTTACAGGAGACTTGATTATATATGGGATCCCAGGTCCAAGGAGAGATCCCCAGATTGTTCTCTGGACAGAGGAGAGGGTGCCTGAAC